CTCCAATCCCTCAGGATGCTGTGGCTCTGGTTTTTGGGTACCTGGTGTATTTTCCCACTCCTCCAATCCCTCGGGATGATGCTGCTCTGGTTTTGGGGTGGATTATGAGTTTCCTATTCCTCCAATCCCTCTGGACACTKCTGCTCCTCCTCCCAGACCCCCGGSAGCAGCTCCCCTCTCACCTTGAAGAAGGTCATGGTGGATCCGTCYCTGACAGCCCCGTACTCGATCTTGGTCTGCTTGGCCAGGTCATCGGCCGAGTCGATGGGGGACTCCATCCTCTCCACGGTCAGGAAGGCAGCCAGGTTGGCAGTGTAGGACGAGATTATGATTAAGGTGAAAAACCACCAAATGCCTCCGACTATTCTGGTGGAGAGAGCTTTGGGCATCAGCTCCGATCCTGTGGCGACACCATCAGAACGATCCCGTTAGAATGGGGTCAGGGGTGCCTTTGCTGACACCACAGACTGRTTTGAGGCACGGGATGCTTTCATGAGCTGCAGCATGAGCGGATGATTCCCAGGAAAATCTCACAAATGCGCGGCTGACACTGATAATGGGACACACTGGGAAGGGGATGTGCGCCATGGGATGTGACAAATGGGATTATCCTCRGCTCTGAGCCCCTCACCTCGCTGAGCTATCCACCTGTCTGTCCCCAGCCAGCCTCTCTGGTGTTTCTGGGTTCTCTCTGAGCAGTAAATTCTGTACCCAGCGTTCAGCAAACCCTGCTGTGCTCACAGCAACCCCACAGACCCAGCTCACACACACAGGGACATCACACAGCTCCAGGGCACAGGAAATCTCCTTCCTGAAATGTGGGCTTCACCTCTGAACACCCAGAGGGGCATGGGCACATCCCTGGAGTGTAAAGGTGAATTTAATGCAAATTTTGGGGTGGTTTGGGGTGTATTTAACACTCGTTATCACTGCAGAGGTTTGAGCAGTGTCCATCAATCCCCACGTGCACTGAAAAGGGTCCTGAGCAGCTCAGAAAACCTCGATTTCAGCCACAGAGGTAC